TGAAGATCCACAGAAGCATCCGGAATGGGCACCAGTCACGTGAAAGGTAGAAAGGAGTCAAAGAAGGCTTCCTGAGAAGTAGGAACTAGGAGGACAGCCATGAGGATTCATTCATGGGTGTTAAAAACTGGAGCTGGGAGGTAGGTGAGGGCAGAAGCCTCTGGATTTCAGAGGCAGCTGAAGCCGTGGGTACGGTAGTATACACCTATAATCCCAAAGGAGGCTGAGGCAGGAGGATCCTGAATTCAAAGCCAGCCTCAACAGCGGTGAGGCGCTAAGCAACTCAGCAAGACCCTGTCTCTAAATAAAATACAAAATAGGGCTGGGGATGTGGCTTAGCGTTCAAGTGCCCCCGAGTTCAATCCAAGGTACCCCCCCCCAAATATACTGGGCACAAAAAGTGGGTCAAGGACTAAGAGGTGGGGAAATAGAGATTGCAAATCAGAGAATGAGGGGAGTGTTCTGAAGACTGAATTGAGCTGGGCACATGCATCTACTTCCAGTGACTGAGGCAGGAGGATCACAGGTCGGAGGCCAGCTGGGGGAACTTATCCAGACCCTGTCTCAAAATACAAAATAAAAAGGGTGTGGGATGTAGCTGGTGGCAGAGCACTGCTGGCATCAACCCCCAATACAAAAAAAAGAAGAGTGGAGACACTAGAGGTATTTAAATGCTAATGTAAGGAAGGAAGAGACCAGAAAGTGAGAAGGGAAGTCAGAGGAGAGGAGCTGGGGGTGTGAGGGTCTCTGGGAAGAGGGAGAGGAGGCATCTCTTCTACTACCACATGTGGCAGGTGTGACCACAGAATCAGCGAGTGGAAAATGGCAGATATGGGAAGAGTGGGGAGCCCAAGTGAGGGCTTCTCGTTTCTCAGCAAACAGGAGCAGAATCACTGCTCTGAGTTAGAGATGGGGTAACAATGTCCAGGCTGGAAAGGGCCCTGAGGCTGCTCCCCAGGCCACCCCACTACTTGGGTCCTCCTTTCCAGGGTGCAGAAGACCTACAGGGAGGGGATCACAATCAGAAAGATAACCGCATCAGGCTGTAGGTGGCCTCCATTTCCCCAGGTGTGGTGCCTTTGACTAAATCTGTCTTTTATCTGCTTCCAGGGCTGGCCAGTCCTCAAGGATGGGCACGTTCCTTTAGCCAAACCAGTAAATTCAGTCAGACTCTCCTCTGAGGTCTCCCCTTTGCCTGGAGCTGTTCCGTTCCTTCAGGAAGGAGCCTTTGTCTATCTCTGAGCTCATCTGCTCTCCCTGAGTGGGCCAGGGCCCCAGGACTGACCACAAACTCCACTTCCCAGCTCGGACCTGGGCAAAGTTGGTATAAGCACTACACACGCACCACTAGGGGTTGACGGTAAGCCCCAGAGAGCTTGGGGTCTGGAGCTGGAGTTCAGAGGGGTGCAAACCGTTTCCGGAAAAGACAGTAAATATTTTAGGCCTGACAACTCGGGTTGCGACTACAGGGTTCTTATCTAAGATCAAAGCAGCCACAGATGATATGTAAAAGAACAGGTGGGGCTGTGTTCCTGCCCTCCTAGATTTGCAAAAACTGGTGGCTAGCCGCAGGCTGTGATTTACCTTTCCCCTACATCCCCTCCCTCCCTGTCCCAGCGTGCTTGGAGCTGCCACCTAGCTCAGAACACCCAACACTCAGTACTGGAAGAGGACTGGCAACCTAAGGCTTTCTCCCTTCAGTCTTTCCTGGCACCCTTGCTTCTGCAAAACTTCTTCCCACACTGGCACAAGCATTGGATGGAGCTGACCGAAATGATGTAAGGAGAAGGCAGACGGGAGCCAGTTAGAATGGCTTCCAGAACCTTCCAAGAATTAACATACTTGTGAAAAAGGATCATTAGAGGACTAAAGCCCTCCACCCAAGTGACTGAAATTTAAAAAAAAAAAAAGGCCTTGGGCTTGGGGTGTAGCCCAGCAGGTGAAAACTTGCCTAGCCTGGGAGGGGGAGAGGGCAACTCGCAGCAGCCCTCTCCACACACAAAATTTAAATGGCGTAAATGTCCCTTAATCAGGTGGGCTTAGGAGTCTACGCGGGGCCTGCAGACTCAAGGGCACTCAGCACTGCATTCTGGCTATTTGGGGACAGGAGCCATGTCCCTGACTCTCCTGTCTCCGCACCTTAGATGGAACAGGTATTCAATAAATGCCCCCTGAGTCTCTGTGGTTGCACAGTACAGACCATCATTCTCTTCTTTATACTTGCATTTTTTCAAAAAATTTCTATAATTTATATTATGTCTAGGAACAACAAAATTCAAAACACTTTTAGAACAAAACTGAAGAGTTAATGAAATAACAGATCATCTGTCCGCCTTAGAGTTGACTCCTCCCTACTCTGGGCAGGAACCTCCTTCCAGGTGAGTGTGGAATCTCCCAGTGAGAAGGGAAGGGACCAGGCGGGTTTGTGTTTGCAGGATCACTGCTGTTTGTCTTTTGACTTCTAGGAAGAGATAGTTATCCTATTCGTGGTAGCAGATAATGAAGATTATTTACAAATCGTTCACGCGGACTTCGGGCTGGTAGAGAACATACTCAGCCACCATAGTCAGCCACTGGGCCTCTGGAGAGCGTGCCATAGGGGTTCTGGGTTCTACACCACCAGCTTCTGCTGGAAAATTTGATCCAGAATACTCCAGCCCCGTTTAAGAATGACATAGAAAGAAAAAAACACGATTGCCTCTTACAGAGCAGTGCTCCCAAATCTGATCTCAAAGAGTTGAAAATAATAACAACCTCACCAAGACCACTTCCCAATTTAGGAAGAAAAATGCTATTTCCATAACTTTTTAAATTGGTGTCAAATATCCACTGAATCATACAAGATCATCAGCCAGGAGGCTCTCACTCATGGCTAAGGCAGGAGACACACAACACATTTCAAATATGGAGACCCCAGGCCTTCCTCCAAGTGCAGGGGGTATAAAGCTGGCCCATGACTAGCCTAGCCAGTGTGATCCCCAGCACCACCTAAAATTTTAAAAAATAAGTTTATGTAGATTGCAACATAGAAAGACCTGTCTCAAAATAATATTCAAAAAGGGCTGAGGATATAGCTCAGTGGTAAAGTGCCCCTGGGTTCAATTTTCAGTACAGCAAAATAATAATAATTGTAAACCTTTACTTAGCACTTCCTAGACGCCAGGCAATATTTTAAGTGCTTCATATATACTAACTTGCTCATCTATCATTACAGGTCCATGTGAGGTAGGAATGGTTAGAGAAGAAATGGAAGCATACAGAGACTCTGAGGCAGCACACCCAAGGTTCAGCTACAAGGTAATGGGTGCAAAGGGCTGACCCAGGGGCCCAGGTAACTGGCCCATGCCTCATCATCTAGTACACAGACCTGAAAACAAGTTCAACCCTAATGCCTTCAACTGGCCGAACAAACTGTCACCTGAAGAAACCGTAACAAATATTTATTAAATGATATAAACAGAATCCTCCCAGAGAAGCTCAGCCTGCTTCTGCTAAAAGAGAAATTGGGGGAAGAAGGTAGGCGACAGAGGGCCTTGGACAAAGGATCAGGGACAGGACAGAGGTCTCTGGGTTTCTCTATCTGATTTGCAGTTGAGTGTCCGGTAGGAGGGCACCAGGTCCTCTTAAGTACCTAGGGGAGCACGGATTGTTGTCTATGCTGTCCCAGCACCTACAACAATGTCTGGAACTTAGTGGGTACTCCATAGAAAATTTGGCTGAAAAAACGGAAGTAAGTGCTCTGACCCAGCCCTGCTGCAGTAAGACTCACAGCAGGCTCTGGGTGCCATGAACTTGATATCAGCCCTGTGAAGGTGTACCCACCAATACCCCTAACTGACCTGTGGGTGACTGTACAGAAGGACCCACCAGGGCTCTGGCACACTTTATCAGACTGCTTCACTCCAGTACCCATAGAAAGAGCCACACACACCCCCTGCCATTGGAGCATGATTCAGCTAATATGCAAATGAAAGGGGGAAAAAAGCTTAAAGATAGGCCAAACTAGGGATCCCAACATGGTAAGCATCTGTCCCATTGCAGACACGTCTACATTCTTCACAATGAGAAAACATTCATAGCTTACTTGTGCAATTAAAAGATGAAAACAGAGATGGGATTTTAGTTTGTGGTAAAGTGCTTGCCTCCAATGCCTGAGGCCCTGGTTTGATCCCCAGCACCACAGGGGGGAAAAAAAGAAGTTAAAGCAAGCTGGTGTGGTGGCCCATGCCTGCAATTTCAGCAACTCAGAAAACTGAGGTGGAGGATCCCATGTTCAAGGGCAGTCTGGGCATCTTAACCCAGGTCCCATCCCAAAATAAAATAAAAAGGGTTGGGATGTAGTTTAGTGGTAGAACAGTTGCCTACCATGTAAGAGGCCTCCAGAACAGGTCAAACAAAAGATTAAAAATAAGACAACAACAAACAAACAAAAGATTAAAAATAAGAGAAGGATGCTTTATATATACTCCACTAAGTTTGAAAAGGCAGGGCAAGATGATAGGTTTTATGACTTAAAAATATTCTTTTTTTTCCCCCTTAGACAGGGTCTCCCTAAATTGCTGAGGCTGCCTTGAACTTGGGATCCTCCTGCCTCAGACTCCTGAGTTGCTGGGATTGTAGGCGTGCACCACCACGACTGGCTTTGTTACACACACAAACACACACACCTGTAGGTTGAACCCAGGGCTTCCCTCGTGCTAGGCAAGCGCTCTACCACGGCGCTACAACTTCTTTGGCTGGGGGCACACGGTTGGGTGTTCCCCATACCAGGTGAGAGGCACACATCTTTAGGTATTTGTGTGAACTTTCTTTGGGGCTTCTGAGTCCTTGTCCAGAATTCAGAGGCAAGAGGCCCTGAGCCATAGGAATGAAGCCCTTCAGAAGCTCTGCATCCAGGCGCCAGAGGTGGAAGGGCCCGGCTCTCCAGGGGGCCAGGGCACCCCCACCAGCACCTTGCACCCAACACCCTGCACCCAAGCCCTGCGCAGCCCGCCACACACCTTGGATGGTTCTCTTGAAGAAAGCCTTGCAGGCCTCGCAAGAGGCCACGCCGTAGTGGTAGCCAGAGGCAATGTCCCCGCACACGAGGCACAGGCGCTTGGGGATGGCGTTGAGCATGTACTCGCACTTGATGGCCGAGTCCTCCATGATGCCGCTGGCACAGTCCTCGTAGCTCTTGCGACACGGGGTGCCTCCCAGGCCCGCACCTGCGAACATGGGAGGCGAGTCCAGACCGTTGGCGTGGGTGCCCAGGGCCAGGCCAAAGCCACCGCTAGCGTCCGACGAGCCGCTGGGGCTGTGGTGGCTGAGGGCATCAATGCCCGAGGACGGGCTGGACGGCTCTGTCTTGATGAAGGAGCCACAGCTGGAGCCCAGGTGCCGGTCGTCTGCGGACATCCTGTTCAGCAGCCTGTGGACACACAGCAGAGTCAGTGCCAGGAGGTGCGAGGGCGGGGCGGGGCGGGGCGGGGCGCGGCCGGGGGCGGGGCCGGGGCGGGGCTGGACGACCAGCCCTTGGGGATGCTGGTGGCCTTGAGGGCCCGGAGGTACAGTCCTGAGCAAGTTTCTACCCTTATCACCTCTGCAGCCTTCTGAGTCCTCAAGGAAACTGTTTAGATCAATGAGCTTCAGATCAGGAATCCCCGCGCTTTGCAATAACTGTTCAGCCTAAATATCTTTCCAACCTACCTGCCTAACAACAGGTGGCGGCTACAAGGTAACTGCCCCCAGGTGCCAAGCCCCGGATCGGGCACTCTTAAGTACAATGGCCTGATAACCCATTCCACCGTGTCCGTCATCTATGATGGCAGCCCCACCAGTGCACGAGTAAGCACGAACTTGACGCTTCCTACAGTACCTTACTGCCACCAAGGCCAAGTCTTCTGACCAGGGCAAGAGGGGCACCAGCTAGACCGATTGCCCTCTGGGTTTTGCTTTAGTCCAGGCTTGGTAATGGAGGGCGTCTGGAAGGCAGCTCCCTGACCCCTCCCTGTTTCCCTTCCTAACCCTTAGGGAGGACATCTCCTACCTAGCCTATGGATCCCCCAAGAAACTGCCTCCATCAGAGAGCATGAGGGAGCCTTCCAGTCCCCGCTGCCCCTCCTCCAATTGTGTCTTTTGTTCTCAAAATCGTGGCCTCCAGTGATTCTCCTAGCTGGGACAAGGGACAATCACCACCATGCCCAGCCCCCAACTGTTTCTTAACCTTGAGTTTCTTTGTTTTGTTTTGCTGTGCTGGGAATTGATCTCAGGGCCTTGCACATGCTAAGGTAAGTGCTCTGCTACTGAGCTACCTCCCCAGTCTTGAACATGGACTTTCTTAGCCTCTAAGCCACCCTGCTCCACCAGGAAAACATGGCAGGGTCACTGCAGGACAGTAGATGGTTTTCCTAACCCAAAGCCCCTGGGTTTCAAGCCATGCTGGGTGGGGAAGAAGGCCCGCAAGGGTGTGACCCTCCCACATCCCAGCTGGGGACCTTCCTTCTATGGGTGTGGACAAGAAAAGCCGTGGGGCTGGGCTCACAGAAGGGAGATTGGTGTTCAAGGGAACCAAGCTGCCAACCATATTCTAGGACAGATATCAGGAGGCCTGGCCTTGTCCCGACCACGTGATCTTGACACTCCGTGAGCCTCCTCTGTGGAGGGAGAGCGGAGGCCAGTGCTTTTGCCTGAGGGACAGGTGAAGGGAAGGCTGGGAAGATGGCTGACAGCTCTGGGTGGAACCACCCGCCACCCAGTTGAAGGAAAGAGGACCCCTGGACGGGTGGGAGGGAGGGTCTCAGTGCTGGAGGGCCCAGGGGGGTGGCCAGGGTCCGACCTCCAGAACCTCTCAGAGGTAGTGGTAACTTGTTTGCCAGCCCCCTTTTCCCAGCAGTCCATCACAGAAAAAACTGGTCACTCCCTAGAGAAGTGCTGCCTAGTCACCCCCCAAACCAACCCCACATCCCAGACCCTAGCTACACACCAAGACCACAAATGTGTCTGTGGACCTTCTGACAGAGGGCCCTCCATTGTCTCTGGTCCACCCATGAGTTCTTGGTCAACACAGCCTCTGAGGGGTTTCCCCATCTGCATTTGCAAATGTTCAGAGAGAGAACTCTGGCTCCATACAGGTGGTTTGTTTTGTTTTGTTTTATGCTTTTGGGGTTTCACTTGTTTGTTTTGTTCTGTTTTGGTACTGGGAATTAAAACCAGGATGCTCTACCACTAAGCCACACTCCAACCCTTTTTTTTTTTTTTTTTTTTTTTGAGAAGGGTCTCACTACGTTGCTGAGGCTGAGAATTTGTGACCCTCCTGCCTCACCCTCCTGAGTGGATGGGATGGCAGGCATGTGCCATTGTGCCCAGACTACCCCACACAGCTCTAATCAGAAGCTGAGAGGTGCAGATCCCAAGACAAAAGACCCACCTAAGGCTCCTGCTCTCAAGTTCACAATCCCCTGGAATGTAGTCTGTGAAGACAGAGGCTCTGGGTCTCTTCTGTTCCAAATGGAATGTTCCTGAGTCCTAGGAGACCCGCCGCCCCTGCAGCTCCCCAGTCTCCCCTGAATTAGTAGAAGTTCCCCTGGTTGAGAGTCTCCTTGGGGCCTTTTTACATATCTCTGGCCAGTGTCCTGTCATCTCCCTGGACAATGCCACCTACTACCCCCTCCAACCATCAGTGGCGCGTCCCCAGGAAATGCCATCAGCCTGGCAGGAAAATCTGCCTGCACAGACAGGGATGGCACCTGTGGGCTCCTTTCCAGATGCCCTCCCTCAGGGCACGTGGAGGACAGCTGACCACACACTCTTGAACTTTTAATCCCTTTCTTCTCTCCTGATAGCTGCTTTAGGCTCTCCTCTTCACAGGAGAATCCCAGTTCTACTGCTGGGCCAGAGCTTCTGGACCCTGCCGCCTACCTAGCAGACCCCAGAGGAAGGGCACTTCCATAGAGAAAGTGCACTCAGGAAATGCACTCGACCTAAACAGTCACTATGGTAGTCATTGTAGTACATGCCCCCTGACTTAGAATTGTCCCTGGAACCAGGTATGGTGGCACACACCTATAATCACAGTGACTTGGGAGGCTGAGGCAGGAGGTTCCAAGTTTGAGGCAAATCTCAGCAACTTCATGAGGTCCTAAGCCACTTAGTGAGCCCCTGTCCCAAATTTTTTTTAAAAAAATTAAAAAGGCTAGGAATGCAGTGGCAAAGCATCCCCGTGCTAAGCAACTCAGTGAGACCCTGACTCTAAATAAAATACGAAATAGGGCTGGGAATGAGGCTCAGTAGTCAAGTGCCCCTGGGTTCAATGCCCAGTTCTGGGGGAAAACAACTGTCTCTAGAGGTACAGGAGGCACTTGTCCTGAGAGAAGCACAGCAGGCATGTGAAGCCTCTCCCAGACAGGGGAGGACAGTTTTTTCCCACGTGCCTTCCCAACCTCATGGCTCAACCAAGCAGGGACACCCAGGAGGGCTGATGGCTGTGTTCCTAAACCTTGCTTTCTCCTCCTCCTTTGTGCGTTTAAGTTTGCAAGCGCATGCGTGCACTTGTGCGCATGTGCACATGAGTGCGCACGCAGGGGTTGCCAGAAATTGAATCCCGGGCCTCACGCGTGCTGGGCAATTGCTGTATCACTAAGCTATACTCCTAGCCCGTCATTTATTTGTTGGTTGGTTTGTTTTGGTACCAGGAATTGAAACCAGAGATGCTTAGCCACTGAGCCACATCTCTAGCCTTTTTTTTTTTTTTTTGAACTGGGGATTGAACTCAGGGGCACAAGACCACTGAGCCACTTCCCCAGCCCTACTTTGTATTTTATTTAGAGACAGGGTCTCATTTTTGCTGAGGCTGGCTTTGAATTTGCAATCCGCCTGCCTCAGCCTCCTGAGCCACTGGGATTTGGGGGTATGCACCACCGTGCCCAGCTTAAATTTTATCTCGAGACAGGGTCTTGCTAAATTGCCCACGCTGACCTTAAACATGTGATCCTCCTACCCTGACCTCCTGAGTTGCTGGCCCTGTCCTTGATCCTAAAGGGTATGAGTATCTTGCCATGTCCAGCCACCCACTGCAGGCCCTGGTTGGAGCCTGGGCTGAGAAGGAAGCAAACCGGATCCCAGCCTCAGGAGGAGTTGGCCTGGGAATCCTGGAAGCTGCTGCTACTGCCTGAGCCCCAGTTTCTCATTTCACTGACCATCATTATTAGATGCCACCAAAATGTCTTTTCCAGGGACAGTCAACCCATATTTGAGGCACCCACCACGTGTCAATTGCTGGCCAGATATCAGGCAGAGGATAGGCACAGCCCCCAATCTCAGGAAGGTTTGACTCTGTCCTAGGAGCCACAGACACTCAGATACTGAACAAACACAGAGTGCCAGGAAGGGCCCTGGGGACACAGTGTTGACAGCGCATCCCTGCTGTGCCCTCTGGTCTTGCTCTACTCATTTCTCATTCATTCATTTTGCAAACTATGAAGACCCCCAGGAGGCCACAGCTTCTCCTTTCTCCTTCTCAACTTTGTCAGTTTCTGACTGTCCCCAAGAGCTCCAAAGCCTCATTTTCTGAGCCTCAGTGGGTGAGAGTAGAGAACTCTCTGGAGGGGAGAGGGGCACGGGCCCTTCTGGGCTGCCTGACTGGATGTACCAGGCAGGGGGAGAACGTTGCTGAAGCCACTAGGCCCTTTGAGAAAGCAGCCCATGCCCTCCCTCTCTCCCTGACCTCCAGGACATAGTTCACTCCTTCATTCATTCACAGAAAATATTAAAAGAAGGACGGAGGCAAAGAAATCCAAGAAGAGGGCAGAGAGGTAGCCAGAGGATGTAGCCAAGAAAAAAAAAAGCCCATCCCAGAAATGTTTAGAGCAGAGCTGTCCAGAAAGGGAGTGAGCAGCAGGTCACGTGTGACTTTGAAGTCAGAGGGAAGAAAGGGCCAGTGTCCACAGTGCTTGGCAGTCTGGAGGTGACCTGGCCCCAGGGCAGGATGATGGCATGGTGGAGACACATTGCAGGAGATTGAGAACTCAGATGATTCTTTCAAGAAGTTTAGCCAAAAGGTCAGCAGATGGGGTGGCAGGAGGGGTATGTACCTCCAGTCCTTCTTCCAGTACCATCTACTTAACACGTGGCGGGCCTCCTGGACTTGGGGACTGGGGAGGGGGGAAGGAATGTTTTTGTTGGTGGTGGTGGTGGTAATGTTTAGCTTCTTTGATGAGGAGGGAGATGTTGAGAATGGAAGGAATTTAAGGTATCTAAAAATGACCATGTCCATACCGTCCAGTTTGCCCTGGGCTATCCTGGTCCCACCTGACTGACCCCTATCATTACTAATCTCTTCCCCTTTCTCTCCTCAAAGTAGATAATGAATTATAGATTGAGCCTTCCTTATCTGAAATGCATGGGACCAGAAGTGTTTTAAATTTCTGATTT